AGACCAACGTGACGGAGGTTTGAGGGGGGATAGCAGTGCAAGTGGCGCATGTAGCATTGATAATGAAGATTGAGATACGTTGCGATCAGAATGCAGCAAGCCTGTCGAGGATCGTGGAGGGGTCATAGGATGCTTGAGGAGCGGCTGGACAGCGCGCCTCTAGCGACGTTCTTGACCGAGTCCGAGCAAGCAACAGCGACGCAAAGAGCGGCCTTTTCGATCGAAGCCAAATCAGCAATGATGGGAGAAGATGCATCGATGCTGATGACCTCCTCTTCTTCTTGCGCTTCTACATCCGAAGAAGAAGAAGGAAGCAGCGGCAGCAGCAGCAGGGGGACGAGATGTTTTGTCCAAGTGCCCGAGGAATGTGCTTGCGTGGAAGAAGGAGCAGCAGCAGAAGGATGTTGTTCCCTGCTCAGGATGAGTTGCTGCGAGCTACGAAGGACCTGAACGATGATTCGACCAGCATACGCCATTTCCACCTCGCTCCCATCATCCCGTCGCTGCTGCTGCTGCTGCGATCGCGCATCATCTTGCTCTCTGCGCACGTGTCGGACGGACAAGCTCCAACGTACCTCGTAGTCCGGAAAAGGCAAATTGCACATGATCGTACAAGTTCCCGCGCCCAATCGCAATGCTTCGTCTGCTCTCCCGCTCGCATTGCCATCGGCGTCTCTGCGACAAAGAAGCGGAACGGTGGATGGCGGGACGATGAATGCTGCCAGACTTGTCCTTCTTCGCAGACGAGCGAGCCAACGTCGCGCATGCTCATAGACCGGTTCCAGCGTCTTGGGCATCGCTTCCACCTCCCGCTCTGCTTCAGGCTGAGCGCAGGCTGAAGAGGACTTTGCATCTTGCCTCTCGTGTAGGGCCTTGACGGACCAGAAGCGAAGATCTTTAGAAAGGCACAGCTCTAGCATAGCGTTGGCTGCTGCGTCTTTGGAGGAGCTCCGACTTTGCAAAGCACCACACACCCGCACATCCCGCCAAACCTCATCGAGATCGACCAGCCGCTGTGTAGAAGCGACGAGTCTGACGCTCACGTTGCCGCTCCTGGTGATCTCGATGCGACCAAAGCGAGTTCGCTGTTTGATGGGCGGCAGACCAAACGTTCCTGCGCAGTCCGCTCTGCCGCTTGGCTTTTGGCTTTGAGCAGGTGTAGGGCTTCGAGAGCGAGAGCGAGAGGCCGGCAAGGTTTTGTGCAATCGCGTCGCTGGATGTGCTCCACGTGCATTTTCGTGTATGCTGGGCGCCTTGGACGAGCTATCGACCAGCTGCGGAGTGTTGCTCCTTCGCGTTGCTCCCTCGTGCTCGACAAGCATCTCTGCACGATGCAAAGGGTCCCTCAAGCCTGACTCTGACACATCGCATTGCGCCTCAATCACCTCCTTTGCTTGCTCCTTGGGACTATTCCTTGTCTGCTGTGTAGGCAATCCGATCGTTGCGACGGATGAGTCGCTACGCACTGCCGATTGCACGTTCATCCTTAGCACTCCAAATGGTGTCCTGACAGGCTGCGTGCCCTCCTCTTTCCGCATCCCTCCGCCTTCGCCCAACTCGAATCTAGCTCTTCGAACGCGTTCGCCTCCCAACCGACCTCTGCCATTCAGCCCACGTCTCGCTTCCCATGTCGTCTCTTCTTTGCCACTCTCCTCCTCCTCCTGCTCCTCCTCCTCGTCATCGATCAAAGTAGATACGAGCCTGTCCATCTCTTCGCTTCTGCTCAAGCTTTGCAGCGCAGATCTCAAAGAGAGCGTAGATCGCGCGCTCATCTCTGCGCCGCGCTTTTCTTTGCCGCCTGTTCGGCTCCGTGCTGTTCGTGGTGTTGAGGTGCTCTGGCCAGAGTTGACGTGAGAAAGAGAATGGCGATCAGAGGCGGAGGTAGAGGTGGAGGGTACGCCCGAGGTCGACGTCGCGGCCTTTGAAGAGGAGCAGGACGTAGACGTGCGAGATGCGCCAGAACGCGCTCTCACCGTGGCCCACGGAGACGTCGCAGCGCTCCGAACTTGTCCCTTCATCTCTCGCATGTGCGTGGGCGCTCGATCTGCGGGGACGCCCTGCACAGTACGGCCAGTTGCGCCCTGCGAGCTCGGCAAATCGTTTGAGCTTAGAGAATCGGACCGGCCGCTGAATCTTGATCTGCTGGCTCTCGGCGTCGCAAATTTTGACGTTGCAGAATCGTTGGGCTGGTGCTTGTCGAGAATGCTTTGCGCTTCGTCGCTCCTAACCTTTCTCACGCTCCAGTGTCCAGATACACCACGTTTGCGCTCATCGATCAAGCTCGCGTCGCGCAGCAGAATCTCCTCCTGCATCGCTTCAGCTTCTACATGCTCGTCTTGCTCCTGCTGCTCCTGCTGCTGCTGCTGCTGTTGTTCCTGCGCAACTCCAAAGCGTCTAAGCCAAGCACTATCCCCGACCTGTCGAGCAGTCCACCGCTTCCCCTCATCCACCTCCAACATGCCCTGGACCACCCTCAAACAAGCCTTGCTGATTTTTCTCCTCATCATCTCCATCCTCGAACAATCCCAATCTCCCACGGCTATCCTATCCAACAAATCCCTCGCCGCTCTCCTCGCCGAGGTCGACGCAGACGCAGACGCATCTGGCCGCCGCCGCCGCGGTGGTGGCGGAAGAGGTGGCATCTTGGTTTCGCTCGAATTCCCCTCGCTGGTAAAGCTAGTCTCGTCGCTCTGGCCGCCGTCGTGGCCGGTGCTGCGAGCATCGAGTTGGGATGCGAAATGTACTTGTGCGCGAGGAGATCGCACGGCTGGAAAAGCTGGTGCGCCAGTAAGGAGCAAGACGGCCAAGCAGCCCAAAGCCCACACATCAGACGCGTGACTTGTTCTTCTCGAAGTTGCCGTTTCCCTTTTTTTTTTTTTTTTTTTTTTTTTTTTTTTTTTTTTTTTTTTTTTTTTTCCCCGTCCCGATTTGAGAGGGAAGGGCAAGAGGGATGGCAAGGACAGACAAGGGAGAAGGACTCGAGTGTGGATGAGCAAGCTCAGGCGGCACACTGCACGTGAAGGAAATACTCACGGACTGAGATAGGCTGGCGTGCCGCAAAATGTATCGTCCTCCCCGCCCAGAGAGTGCCAGTGCCATTGCTCTTCCACCGCTTTGGCTTTGCCCTTTCCTTTGCTCTTCGCACTACCCTCACTGTGCGGCTGTGCTTCACCCGTGCCTGTCAGCTCAACAAAAGTAGCCAGACCCCAATCCGCGAGCCACTGAGGATGCGTGGGCGCAAACGAGACGAGTGCGAGTGGATCAGTATGCTAGGAGATTAGTACGGCAGTTTCGAATTCTTTTGCTTGCCACTCGACCCTAATGCGCCCGTACAGGCCGGTGCTATCAAATAGCGTGATGAAGATTTGGCGCCTGATCACACACACTCTGACTCACCACTTGTCCATCATCATCCACTAAGACATTTTCAGCCTTCAGATCCCGATGCACGATGTTCCTCTTCTGGGCATGCGACAGCGCTCCAACCAGTCGAGCAATCACACCCGCAACTTCCTCCTCCTTCATCACCCTCCTCCATTCCCTACCACCTCTAGCCTCTTTGACTGAGCTGCTGGAGCAAGCCGCACCGGAGCTGAAGCTGGAGCTGATGTGCTGCGAGTGAGGATGCTGAACGCGTCGAAGAACATCTGCGAGTGTGCCGGAGGACATGTAGGGAAAGACGAGGACGAGGAGGCATTTCTCCTGCGAGAGGTCGAGATGGAGGGGGTGCGGGTCCAGATCGAGCCGTGTCGCTCCCTTTGCGCCTTGTCCCATCCTCTTCTGCCCACCTCTTCCTGGCCCATGCTGCTGCTGCTGCTGCTGAGGTATGGCAGCCACAAAGCAATCCAAGAGCGGCAAGACTCCATCGCACCCGCTCAGCATCCTGCAAATCTCTGCCTCTCTGAGCGCCATCCATGTGCTCCTCCTCTTGTCCGCATCAACGAATTCGGGATGTTGCCATACCGTCAGGCACTTCAACACCACCTCTTCACCCGCATCTTGCGCGCAATCGGCTCGTCGACGCAATTTGCGAAAGACGGGACCTTTGAGTGCGCGGGCTAGGTGCACGCTGTTGGATGAGCTGCAAAGATGCGCCATCCAATCCTTGTCCTTGTGCGTGCCAGCGTGGTGAGAGGAGTGATGGACAAGATTGCAACCCGACAGACATCGAACATGTTGATAGTTATCCAGCTGTGTAGTTGAAGAGGAGGGGGGAGGGGG